ATTATTGTTAGAACTGAATCCTGGAATTAGGGCTGCACGACAAATCGAAATGGAATCGAGATCGCGATTCGACAGAAGCTGCGATTGGGATGCGTATCTTTCAGTGAAGCACGGTTCTGTGATCAGCAGTAAATCTCCATCCAAAGGCCAGAGGGCGCTCTCGCGCTGAAACTCCAAATACGCCTTGCAGAACTGTTATTGAGCCATCCAGCATATTAACTAGGAGGAGCCAAGCGCAGACCTTTGGCTTTGGATAGCGATATATAATATGATGTACTCATACTAGGGCTGCACAATTAATCGAATTTCTAATCGCGATTACAATTATGGATGCCACAATTATGTAATCGTTCAAAGCGGCAATCAATCATTCAAAGTCTACAGAGTGGAGCTGCTAGTGACTGGGGCTTCATAACGACTGCTTTGTTTTAGGGTTGTAGCCTAAACGCAGAGCTCTGCTGGGGTGAGTTCGAAGTTGAATAGTTGTGCGTTTCTCAGCTGCTGAGATGAATGGGGGCATTAAGAGGAGGATGGCAGGCAGATAACACAATGGACGGGAGTTTTATTGCACCTCTGTTGCACCAGCATATCTGGCATGTTGCCCACAGATATACACACAACCTCCCGTTCACAGCTGTATCCTCTGTCTCACTCTTTTTTTCTCTCTAATTCCCTCTTAAACCACAACAAAGAACAAAAATAAAATTCTTTCACTTTAGATTGCAGCCCTAGAATTTTTCCAGGGTTGCCTGACTTTGGGAACTACCTCTGCGCTGGTTCATCCCCTCACGACAAAGTTATTTATTTTCCAAGGGGTGAAACATCGACACACAGCTCTTGGTTATCAGGTCGCACACATACTGATGTACATAAGACATTATCTCCTAGAGCTGCTATTTGTTTAGGCCCCAGGCATTGACTGATAATGGCTCATTATTGTAGCCCTGGTCCTGTGTTGTTCAGTGTGGATTGACTCATTTTTGTGGACTTGTTCAAATGTTCCCATCTGCTGGGAGTCACTGCACAGTGGCTATTTTTGACTTGGCCATTAATACTGCATGATGCTTGAGCAAGTGCATGATGTCAGCTTTATACTTCACACTGTTGGTTGCAAATCAGATTACAGTTGTTAAATACTAAAGCAAACTGACCTCATTGTGCTACAGTGCTTTTAATGGTTTAAGACTTTCATAAAATGCCTAATTAGTTTGCAGAGATCATTTACTGAATATGGTGGAGATTACTTTTTTTTTTGTAAACTAGGAAAGAACAATACATCAGTATCATATCATTAATATTATTTTATTAATCTAATGGTTTCAGTTAATATGGGATATTTAATTGCTATTTTAAAAATATAATGTAATATTTAAATATAATACTTAGCATTAGTCAATCACAAAATAAATATCAATTTTTATTATAATGATATAATAAAACATTATATTATAATGTACTTATTGTACTTATTATAACAGTACATTATAATGTTGTGATGCTTAAATTCACTTGTAGCATTTAAAATGGCCGATTCAATTCAAAAGTTATTTTTTGAAAGAAATTAATACTGAAATGAAGGACTCGTTCAATTGAGCAAATCTGAGAGTAGATTCATAAGGATTTCTATTCCAAATAAATGCTTTTCTTTTGAACTTTCTATTCATCAAAGAATTCTGAAAAATGTATCATGGTTTCCTCTAAAGTATTAAAATATGCAATAAATGCAGCTTTGTTGAGCGTGAGACTTCTTTCAAAAATGTTTAAAAAATCTTACTGTCCCTAACTTGGTCATATATTGGTCAAAATAGTACAGATTCTTAATACGTCATTTATCAATTATTGGCCATAACATAAAGATAATTCCGCTTATCATTATTGTCCAGAATTGTACTCTGTGTGTCCATATCTTAAATGAAGGGAGGATTGCATAGAATATCAATGTTTAGGCAATGATTTATCTAACCGCACAAGACGGTCTCATTCTGGACACACTGCATGCTTATTAGATATGAGCACACATTAATTCGGTGGAGTAATTTTGCAGTAGTTTTGATAGCTGTTGACACATCCTTTTCATGATAAAAATGTCTAGGCCAGGGATAGGTCCTGGTGTGCCGCTGTCCTGCAAGGTTTATCTCCCATCCTAATCAAACACCTGATCAAGCAAATCAATGTCTTCAGGATTAGGCAAGTGAGTATTTTTTCAGGGTTGGAGCTAAACTCTGCAGGACAGCAGCACTCTAGGACCGATGTTGCCTATCCCTTGTCTAGGCTTATTGCTGTTGAGTAATACCTCTGTTTGTCAGAGAGCTGCATGCACTGTCATCTGAAGTGTTTTCGAGAGCTGTTTCTAAAGAACTGGACCCCGAGGGTTAACGGACCTCTTTCTGTAGAAATGGCCTCTGACCTACCTAATGAAATTTCCGTGAAGTCGTTAAAAGACCCTGGAGAGAGAGAGATGGTTGTCAGATATTAGGCCTGTAATAAGCCTCTTAGCCCATTCATCATGAGATGATCATTTCTTGTTTGAAGTTAAAAACATCTTTATGATGGATTTGTTTCTTACAAACATGCAGCTTTTTGCTTTACAGGACATTAATTGATGGATTGGAGTCCTGTGGGTTACATCTGGATTATTGTGATGTTTTTGTCAGCCGTTTGGACTTTCATTCTGACGGCACCCATTCACTGCAGACGATCCGTTGGTGAGCAAGTGATGTAATGATACATTTCTCCAAAACTGTTCAGATGAAGAAACAAACTCATTTACATCTTGGATGGCCTAAGAAAGAATAAACTGTCAGAATTCTCACACAGTTGTACATGCTGAGTGAGAATGAGTTGCGTTACTACAGCTGGTTGATCAGGGCATGCTGGTGTCACTGTGAGATCATGTGACTAAGCGAGTGGCAGGAACTGATAACATCTGCTGAATGAACATGTCTAGCGGCAGCAGTTGGTGACCTCAGGGCTAATAGGGTACCACTGAGACAGGGACATGTTTTGTGTACCACCCCTACACACATCTACACATCAGTATGCAGAACATAAAGTCATCAGCACATTTTCTTTGATTGAGGCATAGACATACACTCTTATCTTTAAAGACTGCCTTCCTATCTTTAAAAAAATCGGACATGGTCATAAAATTCAAGCAGTGTGTACTGTAAATGATGGCATCCAGTGTACTTTGTATCTTCTATTACTATATTTAGCCTAAATGTTCCAGTGTTTTATTTAGATGGCATAATAAATTATTTAGGAATGTTCCTTCATGACGTCTTGATTATAAGAGCAATAGGAAATGGCCCAAGGATTTTTGATCACGCATTTATGATCACGTAACTTTAATTAACTTTGATCAAAAGTAACAGTAAAGACATTTGTTACAGAAGAATTCTTTTTCAAATAAATGCTGTTCTTTTGAACTTTCTATTCATCAAACAATCCTGAAAAGTGTATAATGGTTTCCACAAAAATATTAAGGAGCACAACTGTTTTCAACATTTTTCAACAAAAACATTTTAGTTTTCAACAAAATCAGCATGTTTTGCAGGCCATTTTTGCAATATTTTTGATCAAATAAATGCAGCCCTGGTGAACATAAGAGACTTCTTTCAAAAACATCTCACCGACCCTAAACTTTTGAACTGTACATTCAATGTTCAGCTTTCAAAATCTAATATCATTGTAATATTTGCATGTTAAATTGCAATTGCACTTCTTTCTTGCATCTGTTTTTAAAATTCTTTGGCATAACTGAACTTGAATAGCTTACACTGGGCATTTGTAGTGCAGACTGTCTGTTGACTGGCGTCTGGATATTATGGAAGGGCATTTGTTATAATGTAACCTTTCCCCATAGAGAGCACTGTAACACTGTCCCGCTTTTGTAAGTGTGTCAAATCATGCCACTGCCAAACTTCCTCAAGCCAGGTAAAGTAGGACAGGTCCCATGTGAAGAAATGTTTTGTCTTTGAGGACTAGTAACAGACTAGTAACAGTAACCAGAGGAAAAAATGCTGCAATATTTCCTCTTCCTTTAACCATAAGTCAGTAAAAATAAACTTTTTGTCTCTTTTGTTATAGTATGTTTGAGTGACAATAGATGGTGTTTCCTACCTCATTGTGCTGTACTCATGAGGTATTCCAGTTATCTTAAGTTGAGAGAATGCAGGAACCTGGAAATGAATAATACATTACAGGAACTTTTGAATTTGTTATGTATAATAACAAATGAACTTTTTGACCATCATGACCCATCCCTTCTTTGAACAAAGAGCTATTCATTTACCTTATCCTATTAGACTGGCTTATTAAACCAAACAACAATCTCAAAAAACATTCAGGCCTTTCAGGGTAGATTTGTATTAGTGGCATAAAATATATATTAAATCAAATGTAAGCAAGGCATGCCTGAAATGCTTATTATACAGGACTGTCATATTAATGAATCCAATTGTGGATGCTGTTAGCTAAGCTCAAGACATAACTTGTTTTCCACAGAACAAGCACTTTAATTCCTGCATCACTTTAGTTCATGTGAAGGTTTCGTCCTTTTATCTGTGGAGAATTAAGAATCATTTGAGTGTCTGTCAGTAACTACTGCACATAGCCTTCCAGTTTTTGTGAGTAAGGATATCAGACTCTAAGGGTGTGGGACCGTAGAGGGCAGTACATGTGCTGAATATTGACTTTAATAGATAAAGGTACAGTCTTATTGTATAGACTTGTCTTGTGCATTCGTTCCTGTATGTTTTTATTGTGCAAATGCTTCTGATTCCGTTTGTTACTGTAAGAGTGTTGATTCGACAAGTTGGAGGTTGGATTTGTCAATGCAGTGTCATAATCTTCATCCACTGAGTCAGATGTTTTCTGTTCTCTGATGCTGAGAAACTGGTGATGCACAAGGTGATGCTATGTTGTTGTGGTGTGATTGGTTTATGATATTTGTAGATTTATAACGGTTTTATTTTATTTATTTTGTTTTGTTTTTGCAGTTATATGGTTTCAAAAATGTCCTCTAAAATGGTGGGCTCAAACAACCTGGCACATGCTAGGAGGATGGTACAGCAACTTAGAGTCGAGGCCAGTATTGAGAGGATAAAGGTAAATTTTATTTTTTTTTATTTTACATGACTAAATTAACCCTCTGAATTTACCTTCCATTACTGTGAACAGATCTTTAAAAGCCATTTTATCCATTCTCCATCATGGATGATTACCATTGACCCTTTCCCCATATTCTCTCCTCTAGTCCTCTTTGTCTTTTTTTTTTTTTTGTTCAAATTTATAACAAAACAGCAAACAAATAATTATACTTCCTTTTAAAAGTATCCTTAAAAAAATATATCATAATTTCCATAAAAACATTATGCAGCACAACTGTTTATTCTTTTATACGTTTAATCACTGATAATCGTCCTGTTATCATTTCCTTACCTTCAAGTTGTTCCAAACCTGTATTCATTTATTTCTTCTGCTGAACGCAAAAGAAGATATTTTCAAGAATGTGGGTAACCAAACAGTTTCAGTATTTTTTTCACACTATAGAAGTCAGTGGGTACCAGGAACTCTTCAAAATATAATCTTTTATGTTCAGTAAAAGAAAGAAACTCATACAGGTTTGGAACAACTTGAGGGTGAGTAAATGGTGACAGAATTTTCATTTTTGGGTGTAACTATCCTAACTACCAAAAACAGCATATTCGAATGATTTCTGAAAGATCATAATGGCTAATGGCTGCTGAAAATTTGGTTTTGTCATCACAGCAATAAGATTACAACAAAAAAAAAGTGTATATATATATATATATATATATATATATATATACACACACACA